AATTTATTTTGTCCAAATCAGGGGTGAAAATGTCGGAATTCTGCCTATACTTCTCATTTTTCTCCATCAGAGGATTCTCCATCATATCACTTCTAAAGTTGAAACCGTTTAAGCAACAATTTTAGACTCAGATTTTGATACTGAATCAGAAAAATAATTTGAAAATTTGAAAATAATGGTGGAGTGAAAAATTCAATTTTTTTTTGAAAATGAAGCATTTTTCGAAAAATTATATCAAGTTTTCTCGATTTTTTTACCTTAAAAGTTTTTCTTCAAATTTGAAACTAACGTATTCTTACTCAACTTGATGAGCTCTATCCAACCATGTATAGTAAAGCGAAAAAAAGACTTCATTTGAAGTTCGAGTTTCTGGCATCTTACATAATAATCTCCGAACCAGACTTAGTTCTGTATACAATTCGCCTATAAGTTTTTTCGATAAGGTAACGTTTGCCTCATGTAAAGAATGCATTCACCCTTGGAATCTGACATAGAGGATGTGTATCCGAAGATACTGGCACTCGGCATAGTTCGTTGCTTGACCCAGTCTAGCACCCGGTGACTGAAGTTTGTGACTCTATTCTCGATGCATCGAATAAAACTGAATTATACTTTGTTTTCTGCTGAAAGACATCAACAGCAAAGCGATCTTATGCAGGGACCACTGAACTGGTACGGAGATATTCGTCACTATGCATTTCTCAACATGTGTGCATTTTTACTCTGAGACTGTCTCTGCAGATACATGTTTGAGTGAGCCTATGCCCCACAAATGCTTAAAAAGTCTCTGCACAGACAGTGAATAAGACTGTAGTTCAATTCTTTTACAGATGGTAATGAAGGTAATTGATTATTTAACAGTATCTCATTCTTAGTGCTCTAATTCATTTTTGGACAAAAACTGTTTATATACTGCACTAGTATAAGTGTTTATTTTTGACCATACACACGAAACCTAAGCACAAAAACGCCCTTCATACTCTGCTAAGGAAAAATTGATATTCTAGTCTACGCCTTGCACATTAAAAGAGAAGAGACGGTGATAGTTTGTTTACATTGACATTCAGGTGTCTTCTTTGTTTCTATGCAAGCATGTTTGACAGAAGAAGAGAAAAGAATGTTGAAATGGACGCAAATATACACACACAAAAGAAAGAACAACATTCAAGCACGTTGTTTTGTACACGTTCGAACGTGATCACGTTTATATAAGATTTATGTTTGCCTAAAATATAAACTCATCGTTATACACCAGATAGACGTAAAAAAATAATTCATCAGTCGCTCAAATACCTGATTGTGGCAGCAAAATCTCTCAAAAAGCACGCATTTGTTTATGTTCACTAATCATTTTCTTCTAGCTGTTTTTGGTTATCAGTATTTTATCCAACAATGTTCTGTATCGAAACGTTTAATGAAGATGACTTTTTCTTAAGGGACATTAACTTCTTAGAAATTTACTAATGCGCAAATGAACGAACGCTTTACTTTAGTAGTATTTGAACATCAGCAAATAGAGAATTTTGTGCTCTATGCTTTCACAATCTTTCCATGATTCCAGGTGCTATCGTTCAGGAGAAAAATGCTTGAAACCAACACCTTGTGGTATTTATGCATACATTTTGAGAAATCATGTTTTCCAAAGCCAGACTTGGTCTATGGAACGTTTATTCTAAAGCCGTCGCATGTTGAATTTAATTTTGAACAAAGGTGCAACTGTTAAGTTGAACAGTGAAAACGTTTAGGTTGTTTCGAATTAAAATGAATAAAGTCATAGGTCTGCCGGAAAAGGGATTTTTTCGGTGTCTTCACATGTTTTACTTCAAGCATTTTGCTTGCAAATATTTCTTCTGAAACTCTGAAATGTACATCAACAGATGCAGAATTTTAAGGGTGAGGTTTGCGGTATATTTAAAATTTCGGCGGAACCGTTATTAAATGTTTTCATATAATTTTTTCGTTTTTTGACCGTCGCAGTTGGATGCTTGAGTAGGTGCTAATCCATTAAATTTTTTGTAGATAAGAAAAAGTTACTGAAAGACAAAGTCGACAGTTTTGTAGAACAATGATTTTCTATCGAATGAACTTAAAATCGGATTTTAAACAGACTCCTAGTTCCTCAAAAGCAGAAAGCAAAGTGGTCAGTTTAATGAGCGAAATGAGCGGTTGATTCTTTTTAAGGCATAATTGTAACGATAAGGATAGGAATATTTTCAAAAGCCTGCGAAACCAAGTCTTAAAAGCGTTAAGGAACAGTAAATTTTTGCATTTTCATAATATCTTAAAACCATTTGTTTCACCACAGAAGTTTTGATCTGCCATAGTAAATTTTTCGAAAGATAGCACAGAGACCCCTGCTACCATATCGGATCAAAATGGAAATACGGCCAACACAAACTCGGATAAAGCCGACTTATTTTCTATACATTTCGATCGATGTTTTGAGCCAAAACAGGATCCTATGCTCAATCCATCGAGCAAACAAAAAATACATGATACCTTTATATTTAAAGTTCTATCTGTTGAAGATATTTTTTCAGCCATTTCTTCTCTTAAAAACGATACTACAGCTGGCTCTGATGCTATCTCGGTTAAATTTCTCAAGGCGACAGCGGCAGTCACTACACCACAGCTACCTCGAACTTTTTCTGTTTCACTCAAAGATGGATTATTTCCATCCATTTGGAAAAAGGCTATAGTGTGTTCTCTTCATAAGAAAGGTTCGAAATGCATGATAGAGAACTATCGGCCAGTGTCATTATTATGCGTTATAAGTAAAGTCCTTGGGAGGTTTATTTTTGACCAACTGTTTGGATTTTTAAGTTTTCATTCTTTCTTCTCTTCTATCCAGTTTGGTTTTCCGCCGAAATCTTCTACAATTGACGCACTCTTCATCATCTTTATGAAAACATGAATTCTTCCATTGATTCTGTTCTTGTAACATTTGATCTAGAGAAGGCGTTCGGATAGAACTCCTCACCAGTTACTTCTAACGCGTCTTTCTACTCTTGGTGTTAAGAGCGAAATGTTCATGTAGTTTTCTAGTTATTTGTCTAATGGTACCCAGCAAATTAGCATCGGTGATTCCCTTTCCACTCGCTCGTTTATTCCATCACGGGTGCCTTAGGGTTCAATCCTGGAACCCCTTTTCTTTCTCATTTCTATCAATGATTTACCCGATCACATTTTCATACCTTCGATTGCTTCTCTTTTTGCTGATGACTGTACTATACTCTCTGCCACAATCATTCTTGCTCCTCTAGCTAATTGTCAATCATGCATAAATTCTATCGAGGAGTGGTGCACTTCACATCTTATGTCTATCAATACTTCTAAGTGTGAATGGGTGTTTGTTCTGAATTCCTCTCAACATGAAGATCTTCTTCAGTTCAATCTTGCAGGTGTTTCAATTCAGAGAGTAGAGAGTCTGTGTTTATTAGATGTGACTATTTGTTCTAGTCTTCGTTGGGATGTTCATGTGCACAGACTAGTTATTTCGCTTAGACGTCGTCTAGGTGTGATGAGTAGAATATTCAGAAATGCTCCAGCGGAAATCAAGCTACAAATCTCTCGGGCGTGTATCATGAGTGCTATACATAAATTTTATTTTATTTTTCAGCAATTCCATTAAAATGTTGGGATGCAGAGGAGCAAGTTGGATTATGGTTGGATGCTATTGCACTTGGAGAATATAAAAGTGCCTTTATTCCAGACTATGGGTCAATTGTTTACGACAGTTTGTTTACGTCTTTCTATTCTATGCTAGCTTCTACGCACAGGCTAGTAGCACGTATGATTTGGTGTGACTTTCATTCTAACGGTGATGATCTTCTCCGTAAACTAAAGCTGCCAGACCTTGTCTCCCGCAGACACTACTTTCGCCTTCTACACTTTTATAAAGTGTTATTCGACATCTCTGCTCTACCTAAATTTTGTATAATTTCCGTGCGTCACACGAGAGCCAGTCTTCGACTAAATCAAAATCCTTTCGCTGCGATTGTTCCTTTTACATCAAAGAAAAGTGTACAGGGATCATCATTATATCTAACAGCGGACGAGTGCAACATGCTTCCGCCGCACGTCATTAGCAATCCTGATCCTGCTAACTCTTCGAATGCTATTGTTGTTTCTTTATCAGTCTTTAAAGCTCACCTACGCGCTCATCTCCGTGACCAAATGTAATTATTTTATTGTCCTGTTGGATATTCTAAACAGTTCTTGTACTTTACTTGCTGTTTATTGTACCTTATTTGTTTTTGTTTTTTTGTGCGTTTATATTTAGGAAGATTTTTGGGAGCAACAAGCCGGAGGCTTTTACTGTTTCCCTGCTTTGATTTAAGCTAAATAAATAAAACTAAACTAAAACTAACTTTTTGTTAGTAAGTCAATTCTTATCTATACACGTTTTGTTTTCTTTTTTCTTTTTTTTTATTATTATAGAGTTACATTTTTATCTGTGTCATGCTTTCTAACACCTAACGCAAGGTACAATGCATTAAAATGTTATTAAAAAAGCAGCGAAGTGCATCAGATGATGGTGTATTAGATTCTGAGCATCTTAGTGCGTGCTCCTTGCATTATGCCTGTGTGCGAATGTGTTTTGGCGATGAGTGGCATCCGTAGAGTGTGTTTAAGCCATGGGTACTTTGAATCCATGTAAACATGGCACAACTCGGCTCGGCTCGGCATAGATCGCAACAGTCGTTGACTTTGGTCACATGGTTAATTCGTACAATATCGTCTCCTCCGAGTTGAGACCCAAGTTATTCTTATCTTGTAATAAGGCACAGTTAGGGCACAACCCTTTTCTCCCTAGATTATGCTCATCAAGATATCGATCCAAGTTTATAACTAACATGTATTTTTTTTTTAACATTCAATTACAAAAGAATTTATTGCATTTACTAGAACATGCATTTCGAAGAATGAAATTTTACTGTACATAAAAAGCAAACGTTCTTTCAATGACAAATCACAAAAATTATAAGAATGGTTTATCATTAACGAGGTGGATAATAAGGCTGCTGAGGTGACGTCTGTTGATATGGTGGGTAGAACGATTGTTGTTGTTGTTGTTGTTGAGGTGGTGGCGGATTATTATTATATGACGATTGTTGAGTCGGGAACGGCTGATATGGTTGTTGAGTCGAGGATGGCTGATATGGTTGTTGAGTCGAGGACGGATTATATGATGGAGAATAACCTAAAACAACAAATGCTTGGAGAAAAGGGATATAATTCAAATACATAATCGGTTATTTGAACACTCTAATTGAACTGGTGGCATTTTGATTTGAACTCTGGCATTTTGAACACTCTAATTCGGATATCCCCTAAGGGGAGTTACCAACCCCCTTTATGTATCTTAAAACTTTGTCAATTTAACGAGGACACCTGATTACATATATCTGTAAGTTTTTTCAATGAACTGGTAAGTATTTGCAGAGTTATTAGTTCTAATCGCTCTTCATCATGTCTGCGTGACATCTATTCTGTTTTGCATTTTCTTGCCTTAAGTCTCTTCTCCAAAACTTTTTTGACATAACAGGATAAACGTTGATAAAATTCTTCACAAAATCAGCTATTTCTTTGATAAATACTTACAGAACAGCTGAGTTACACATGCTATCTTTATTTCATCACTTCTTCCAAAAAAATGAAACATGCTTTTCTTCTATTATCCACAAAATAAGGGGAACTCTTTGAAACGAGATAAAGATAGTATGTGTAACTCAACTGTTCTATAAGTTTTTAAATCAAAAAATAGTGTGCAGAATTTTATCAACGTTTATCTTTTTTATTCTAGGAGATATTGAGCCCACAAAAATACTTCATGCAATGTCCAAATATTTCTTTCACTCACTAGCTCCTTTTTGATATTTTTTTGAAAAGAAAATAGTAGATTTTGCGCGCTTAAAAGTCTCTATCGAATGATGTATTATTTGATGACTTACAATAAACTGTTAGGTGGCAAATAAAAGTATAAGGCACCACAGTGATGCTAATTATCATTCATTAGCATTAAATAATTATAAATTAGTACCTCAAAAAGTTTTAGTTTAATTTTTTTTCATGGAACTATCATAACAGATCATCGGCTATCAGGCAATGCAAAAATGACATTTCTACGATTACTTTTAACCGAGCTACAAGCTTTGCAAAATGGGAACGAGCCACCCAAATTCTAATAAAAATTTAGGCTTAATTAATTAATAACTCTTCGAATACTCACAAGTTCATTGAAAGAACTTACGTATATATGTAGTCTTATTCCTCTTTAAAGTGACAAAGTTTGAAGATATATATAGGGGTATGGAGTTTCCCCTTAATAAACAAAATCTAATATAATTGTCAACTCACTCGGTTGTTGCGCTCCTCTGTTCACGTATTGGTCGTGTGAAAGTCCTGGATGCACGTAGGCATGTGCCATTCCTCTTAAATAATCTTGATAATCAATCGAACCATGTCGATGAACGTCTAATCTCTGAAATACTTGATCGACTTCTTGGGCTTGTGCTGGAATACCCGAACGTTGAAGTGTGTCTCTGATTTCATTTTCTGTTATATAACCTTTGCGACCAGTATCAAATTGTAAAAATCCATCCGTAATCTCCGCTATTTGTTCTGGTTTCAGTGAACGAACGTCAGCATACTCATCAAACGCGGACATGATTTTGGTATAAGTTAGAGTAGTTTAAGCACGGAAAATATGTATTACAAAAATAAGATATTTTTTTAGTCTTACTATTTTGAGAATGTTCATTTTATATTAATGGTAAATGTGCTTTGTCATCCGTGCATGACGATAACACGTATAGTAGCAGATTGCTTTGTCATATTACCACAATGCTTCGTAACGTGTTACTAACCTTGTTTTTATCTAGTTCTGAAACGCACTTAAACTATAACGATCATCCTCTATGCAAAATTTTATTGATCAGTAGCTGTTGTTTAGATTTATTTTAGTCAAATTCTGTGTAAACTAGCTTCACAAACTGAGTGATTTGCGAATAGTTTAGTTGAACTGTTAGTTTACTGCATGATTGTATCTGACGGAGTATTATCGCGCAAACCAAATCTGGATAAACTAAATGAGCAGGCCCATGTTCCACACAACGATCTCTCTCCTAAATCTCTAGCTGCTAGTGTTTTTGTTGAAGGTAATGAAATTTTATGCATCATCTCGAAATAAATGGAACCAGGAGAGACTAAACATAATGGAAGCTACTGCTCACTGTGTATATCAAGCTATTGACAACATCCAATGTTGATGTATATATACTTATTTACCAAGTTTTTCTGTCAGGAAACAAGTGTCTGTGATGACTGTGTTGCAACGCCGCGACCGCCGTTATAGTCTTGACGATGCATAGGTCCGAAGGGCGTCATTGTAACTTTTTGGACCTCTTCGTCCTTAAGTGGTACCTTGACTGACGTCAGGGAGTACGTCAGAATGTACTCTAGGACATTTCTACAAGACTGTGGTTTTCCAGACTAGTCCGGACGGGATGCGCGAACAGTTCGGACTAGTCCGGATGCTAGTCAATCACTTTTTTTCTTTACCTGGGCTGTGACTGTATCACATAACGACTACTAACTACATAACTTCACTCAGTTCTAAAGATGATATACAAAATACAAAACCAGGCACAATTATCATAGCAAAACGTTCGATTTTCCATCTGGTTGAAAATAAGCGAAATAAAATACATATTCTGATTCGCAATTTCACAAGGATTCCGAATATGCTACCCATTTTCTTGGACAACTCTTAGTTTTTGAGAAAGAAACGAAAAACTGTTTTTGCGTGGAAACTAGCGCTTTTTATTCTATTCTCCCATTTTTCTCCGTTCTGGCTATGTTCTTTTTTTCTCTGATTTCTCTTATTTTCATGTTATCAGAATGAAGAGACAACAGGCATCTAGCAAAATTGAAGATATCTCTTCTAGCACAAGATATGCGTGTGCAAACATTGCCATACGTATGACGTAAAAGAACGAGGAAGAAAAAAAGAGACGGTCTGTTCTCTTTTCTGTTGTGAACGCTGCAGAGTGTAACGGTCTCTTTTCTCTTCTTTCAGAGAGATTTCAACGTGTTTTTTATTCCGGAAAAACCAAAACACACTGTCTTGCCTCTATATATGTTATATCAACTGATCGTCGCCTGATATACTTTAAATCAAGATTTCTCGGTTCTGTTCACGATAGTAAAATGCTATCCACGTGTGGTATCGGTCCCAATCAAAACTGTACAATTCCTCCTCATACAAAAATACTTGCTGATAAGGCATTCACTAATGGTGACTATTTACTCACACCAGTTAGAAGAAACGAACTTAGAGCACTCCCTCAATCAGCAAAAGATTTATTTAACTATCATCTGCCAGCTAAAAGAATATTTGTTGAACACCTGATGCGTGAAATGAAAGTTTTCGAAGCAATTCATGGTGTTTTCCATCATCAACATAATTTATGGCAAGCTGTGAGTCTTTGCTGCGCTTATCTTGTCAATGTACGTGCAAACCTATTTTATACCTGAAACAGGTATTATGCATTTTCAAATGTCTGTTGTTTTGTTTAAAATGATCAAACAAAAGAGAGATATGCGTAGACACGACACAGAAAGAAGGATATGAATGTGCTTAGATACGACAATAAGAAAGAACAGGCACATTTATGTATTCTGATATATATTCCATTTGAACAATCATAATTTCTGTATACTGCAGTGCAATGTTGTATCTCTTCTGCAAAAGTTAAAAATCACCATTAACAACTAAACAATGCAGCTAGAATTCAGATTATTTCAGATTTTCTGTGGTAACTAATTTTCTTAAACTGATTGACAAGTGAGGACAGTAACCCGCAGTCCAAGACTCATCGGAATCGTAAACTAGTCAGACCAGAACTACATTTACAGCTTGTTTTATCAATTTCGCCACTGTATGTTTAAAAAAGTGTTAAAAGAATAAAATGGTGAATGAAAATAACGCTGCACTGACTATTCCTCTTCCTTCACACGGCGAAAGAGAAAAAGAGAATATCTATCAAGATATACGTCGTGCATGTGCGAGAAGAGATATCTCTAATTTTGCTAGATGCCTAACGAAAAACAGAATATTCTTGTATAGAACACTGATTTAGATCTGTAGTCTGTGCGCTGTTAGTTTATTAGAGCGTTAACGACATGTCTTTTTACGGGACTCTTATTTTAGTTTTATTTTACTTTTACTTGCGTTCGGAACAACATTTTTTGTGACTCTTTCTCGTTCAACCACTCTCTAAAAGAATCGGTATTTTAAGAGTATGGCTGGTATTTTGAATGTAAAACCGATTTTGGTTCTGTACAAGATATAGGAAACTAAATTAGGTTTTGCTGCAGTCGGGAAAATATTTGATTTTGTACTGTGCCGTTTAGCAGAGAAACGAAAATACGAAGAGGGTATTTCATATTCTAAGATATTCTTTAAGGGCTTTTCATTTTTGATAGGATACCAAAAAGGTTTACTAAAGTACCCGTGAAGGGTATCCTACAGGGCCGAATTAGTTTTGTAATACCATAGGGTATTTTATTAGCTCTGAAATATCAAGTGGGATCTAGAGATACGACGATATTGGTCATAATAAAATTAGTTTACATGGTGCAAAAGTAATAGCATTGATGTTAGAAATAAACAGAGCACTTTTGTATCTAAATATTAGTGGAAATTCATTGACAGATGATGGTTTAGTATCGATTGCCAAAGCATTAAAGCTCAATAAAAGTTTAATTAGACTCGATATTGATGAATGTGGTTTTTCTGATGAAGGTTTATCAGAACTTTCAAAAGTATTAACTGAAAATTCAATATTAACCCATTTGTCAATGTTTAGAAATGAGCATATTACAGATGATGGTATTAATACACTTTTAAATGCTTTAGAAATTAAGAAAACACTTTTGGTTGTTTTCATATCGAATACTACGATTTCAAGTATAATGAAAAACAAAGTTCGATATATTTTACATAGTAATATTTTTCACATTTCTAAATAAATCAGCATTTTCTGAAGGAATCAGCGCCATTTTAAAACTTTCTTTTTTCCATTCAGAATATATAATTTATCTGTCAGTAGTCTAGAAGCTTTATCTTCATCTTTTGCAACCGTGTGAAATACACTAATATACTTCTCTTCTATACTGCTCAGTATTTGTCATTCAATTCTTTTTACGTTAACTCTTTACTCCCGGAGGGGATTTTTTTGAAGATCCAGAAAAGGTGTCTACTAAAGTGGAGCTTTTGAGTGCTCATAATGTCCATTCCATACTTAAAATAAAGCGAAGTTGCCTAGGTGGCAGAATATAGAATATCCACAGACGTGGACATTAGGAAGAAAAAATGCAATTTTTTTCTTTGTGTTCTTCGGTCAAAATTCAACATTTTGAGGAAAACAAGATCATAGTCGGAATCAGGATCAACAACTGGATTGAATGACATGGGTCTCAGTCTTTTGGGAAATATTTGGAGTTTGAGTGAAAACTCTGGTTTTGGATTTTTGAAAAAAATGAAATACTTCGACGTCATTCAAAGTTTCTGGCACCCATGTCATTCGACCCAGTTCTTGACCCTGAATCTGAA